ACGAAAAAATGGGTAGGGGCATGTGTAACAATCCTAAAGTTTCAAAAAAAAAAAAAGAGAAAAGATGCTTTTAAATAGGTGATGGTCTGTTTGAGTATGATGGTCCTTGGGGACCATCACTATTTTCAAAAACTTTTACTTGGTTTAAAACTTTTGCTGCTGCTTTTGTTTGCAGCCTTTGCAGTTGCTGCTTGCAGCTGACAACGTCCTTTAGCAGACGTGGTTTTCGTATGTTAAAAGCAGACGCTTAACGCGACACCTCAGGTATGAGGTAGAGCGTAATAAAATATTATAATAATACGTTATAAGAATTTAATTAGGGGAGGTGAGCACTCTTACCCTGGAAAATTTTGAGATCTCTCTCTCTCTGGTCGAAAAACAGTGAACTCCTCCCTTGAACCGAATTTTTTATCGGAAGCTCCCTCTCAAACATTTGTGGGTAAGTGACATCGTCTTCCTGAAAAATAGTCTATTTCTAATAAATAGTGATACTTTCGTCTAGGATCTTTATTTTATCAGTTTTATGTGTAAGTGACCTCATTGTCTCGAAAAATAATCCATTCTTTTTAAAAATAAAATGAAATAGTTATTTCTGCTTATTATCATGAATTTTAGATGCCATAAATTTTATGCGCACGTGACCTCATTATCTTGAAAAATAATCTTTTTAATAAAAAATTGTGATATTTTATCTATGTTAGAAATTTGGAATGCTGTAAGTTAAAAAAATAAAATTATTTATTTTTCTTGTCTATTGTTATAAATAAATGTGATATTTATCCTTTTAGTAAAATTGTGATATTTCTTTCTACTGTTTTGAATATTTAGACATTGAAAAATTCATGTGCAAATGACTGCCTTATTATTTAAAAATTTACATTTTTGCAATTGATTATAGTATTGTTGTGAAATGTTTATTTGTGGATTGATATCCCATAAATTGTGATAATTCCGTATTCTTAAATTTTTATAAGAGTTTTTCTATACATATTAAATTGGCAATTATGCTATAATGCCTTTACAAACTGCTACCTTTCTAAATTTGAGCCCAAAATATTTGATTGGTTATTTTTGAAATGTTATAGAGAGTGACTGTTATTAATGGTTTAAGTAAAATTCATATTAATGGTTTCAGTGATATGTTGAGTACATGATATTGCTGCTTTCGAATGTTTAAAGAGATTTAGAAATAATTTAAGTATGCAAGTGGACTCATCCAGTTCGCCGGTGAGGTATAAGTGAACCTATCTGGGACGCCGGTAGGGATTAAGTGGACTCATCCGGTACGCCGGTGCGGTATAAGTGGACCTGCAGGGATTAAGTGGACCTATCTAGGACGCCGATAGGGATTAAGTGGACCCATCAGGACGCTGATGGGGTATATAGGTGACCTACTTGGGACGTCAGTAGGGTATTTTGTGAAATCCTTTGAATTATGTACTGTCGTTAAAAGTGTTATAAGCATTTCAATTACTCGAATTATACTTAATTATGCATTTATTGAAAGTGAAACTGTTGATACATTTATGTTAATAGATCTCATTTTGGAAAATATTGATATCTTTTAATCATGATTATTTTTAGGATTATGGTGATCACTTACTGAGTAGCCAATCTCATCAAACTATGGTAAACATTTTTCAGGATAACTGCGGATTCATTTTGAGTACTAGTCAAGATCAACCTTTGTGCTAGCTTTCTTTATTTACTTTGTAAGACTTCGCCACTGTAAATTTGTCCTATCAATAGATGTATATATGTTTTGTCTGTCACATCTCAGGAATAACAGTATTGTAAATTCTTGGGGTGTGACAATTATGGTATCAGAGCAATAAGTTTATGATCCTTAGGAAATTTAAAAAGAATGTACTTAAAATCACATTTATTGTGTATACAGACCTGAATAAAGTCAAGATCCAGAATAGCTGAAGCCAATATGGAAGGAATTCACAAAGCTTTGGAAAATATGGTTGCTCTAATGCAACATCAGATGGAAAACAACAATCCACCCAGGCAGCCAGTTACAGGAAATGGTGGGAGCAATATCGAACAATTTAAGAAATTAAACCCACCTTCTTTTAAGCGTGCTATAAACCCACTGGAAGCCGAGGGATGGATTATGCAATTGGAAAAAATATTCGAGGTTATGGAATGTCCTGATGATAGGAAGGTGGCCTTGGCAGTTTTTATGTTAGAAGGTGAGGCACAACACTGGTGGCGAATGGCAAAAGGAGTATTGGTCAAAGAAAATAAAACCTTGACTTGGGAAGTATTTCTAGAGGCATTTAATTAAAAATATTTCCCAGATTTTATTCGAGACCAAAAAGAAATAGAATTTCTAGAATTAATCCAAGGAAATAGGACAGTAGCACAGTACGAGGCCAAGTTTACTGAATTGGTCAGGTTTGCACCACATATGATTAACAATGAAGTAAGAAAGGTGAAGAAATTTGAAAGGGGTCTCAGGCCAGCTATTAGAAGCAGAATATCAGTCTTGAAATTAAGAACTTATACTGAAATAGTGGATCGTGCCCAAATTGTCGAAAAAGATTTTGAAGATTACCAAAAGACGAAAAATCAGAACAGTCATGTTAGACCTAAATCATCTAATCGACAACAGTTTGAAAGGCCAGACAATAAGCCAAGGCCCTCGCCATTTCAAAACCCAATAGAACCATGTAGAAAATGTGGGAAAAATCATGGATC